GCTGATTTTTATGAAATGGAAAGGATAAATTCTAATTAATTTTTCCTCCCCATTTTGAGCAATGGAAATTATTTGCTAGCATAACTTAATGCGTTAGACAAACAGGTATTCAACCCTTCATTAAACTTGAGGTGTGATAAGTTGCAGGCCCTGCATTAAGCTTGTCATGCTCTTGCATCAGCTTCGTCTCAAAGAATGAATGATAGTCTGTTGGTTGCAGCGTTTCATTTAGCTAATGAAAAAGTATCTTCATGTTAGATGTCAAGTACTACAACAGGGTCACATTCTGCCACTTTTATTTAGTAGCGCTTTACTCCATGAGTAGATGCATTGATGTGAGTGGGACTACTCACATCGGCCAAATTGTGAATCACTTGTAAACGGTTATTCACAATGGCCCTATTCATGCAAAGAGCTGCTCACCACAACATGAGTAATCGGTTCATAATCAGGCCCAGCTTAAGGTACTATTCAGCTCTGGTAGGGATGGCAGAATCTGGCCCACACTGGCTAAAGGCCAGACGCAGATTTTTTAACCAGGATGAGTAGCTCCTTATTCCACAAATACTGCGAATAAAGTCAACAGGGCTATTTGTAGCGTTCTCTTTTTATAAGAAAATTCTGGAAAAGAAGCATTTCAATATATGCAAATTATTTGAGCAAGTTTCTATTCAAGTTAAATGATTTTCTTTCCCGCTGGACTATACTCCCACATTAGACAAGACTTGTGTTCTTGTGCTTTGATTTTATCCACTTAATGATTTCTTAGCACGAGCAACTAATCTTTTCACTGCTTCTTCAACATGTGGCAAATGCACTAAAAACAAAAGGAGGTGATTTACATAGCCTTCCTGCCAAGTATTTTAACTAATGCTTGAGATATGTGATCATCATGCAATGTTGCAAAGTAAATTTATAGAACTTCTGGGCAAAGAGTGCCTATCCTGTTAAAAGAGAAAGTGAAATATTGGTGTAATTATTACTGTGAAGAATTTGTGATGACATATTGCTGTGCTCTTTTTGCTTCTGTGATTGATTCATCAGCAATTTGAAAAACTTAAGCCTGTGTTTGAAACCAAATTTTTGAATACCTGTAAATACTTCTATGAAAATTAAAGTCCTCTTCCAGATTTGTGCAGATTGCCGACTGATAGACAATATGACATTTAGTGGCTAAAGACCCAGCCTCCTTACCAAAAAGATAGTCAGAAAAGCTGGACACAAGTGATTTCTACTACAGTTTAATCATCAGCACTACATACCACAGAAACATATCAAGGAAGACTTTTTTTTGTTACTGAGAATAAGCTGAAATGAATTGTATTTTTCACCTCACTTTTTTAATGCCATAGTATTTTATACTGCCAAGTTTTGAAAATCTTCATTTCCGTGTGTTAACAATATTTTGTTTTGATTGCAAACTTTATGGTAAGGCCCTGAAGTGTCTTATTTAACAAATACAACAAATACAGTACATTTAATACCGGTACCTTTTCACACAGTAGAAATAAATATTTTTATTCTTAAAGATTTAAATAATTCAATGTTTTTAGAATGAGATAAATGACTATAAATTTCCCTGATAAATTTCTAAATAACTATCTGTTTGATCTGAAACAGTGTTAAAACTCGTTTTAGAACTCTTAAAGTGCAAACATTCAAAATATTTTCGAGGGAAGCTCTTTCTACAGGTAGGCACTGTTTTTTTTCCCCATCTCTTTCATACCCAAGTGACAAGGGGCTTGATCCTCTATCTCCAGAACACACCTTTCTTTCCCCTCTAAAGTGATATTGCAGGTTTAGCTGGCATCAGAGGATAGTTAGGCATTGTGTGCTATACAGCTCTCAGTCCAAGAGCTACTTCTTTTTCCTATTTATTTTATATCACTTTTGACGAGCCCAAAGAAGCTAAAGCATATGTTGAGTTCAACCAGCTTCACAGCTGCTTTGCATTGCCAGTGCAAAACAAAACAGCTGCAGTATACTGGTGAATTATCATTTGAAATACTGGTAGTATAAGCAAACTTATGAAGGAAATATCCAGAAGGTAAAATCATGATAGTTAAAAGGATGTATTTCAGATTTAAATTGTGTAGAATAAACAGCAGACTGGGCAAGCAGTGAATGGGAGGTGTTGGGGGGGGGGGAGGAGGGAGCAGGCAGTGA